GTCATTACTGTTAAGCAGGCCTTTGGTAATCACGGATTACTGGCCGGTTACGATACCTAACCCATAGGGGCAGGTTTGGGTTATGACAGTTTTGCTCTTGAGAGGCTCTGTTTGCAGGGTTGACTACACTCCAGGACCTTCTGCTCCAACTTACCGAATCAATGCTGAGGATTACACCAGTGGCCTGCCGGCCATGAATGCTTGCTTCCGGCCCCCTGCCGGCCAAAAATGTGCCTTGCCGGCCATGAGTGAGCCACTGCTGGCCACCAATGAGCCACTGCCGGCCACTGGTGCTCTGAGTCACCACACTGCAACAGAGCACAAATAGAGGAAAATGGAGGGTTTTCCAAGGGTATGTTTGTACTGTGCCCCTCCTTGTCATCTCAAAACATCAAAGGAGTGGCACTCTTGGATCCAAAACCACCAACCAACCATCTTCAATGCATGATGGTCAAAGAACCAAGGAGTACAATTTCATTGTATGCAAAAAGACCAGACTCAAGGCCATCACCTTACCATGGATGATCAAAGGCAATGGAGACTAAGGAGATTGGCTCATTTCATCACTTTGAGTATGAAATGCTCCAATCTACCTTGTGTTCAATATAACTTCTAATTGAACACATACAATGCAACACAACATGCTTAACTTACTTAAGTAATACTTGTCAAATTTTATTTACTCATTTTTATTACCGATCCATTCTTTAACTGGTTTAGTCCAAGAAGAGAGTCCTCTAATGAGAGAGATGTCAACTAAGGGATGACTTAAGGCAAGAGAGAGATCAAGCCTTTTGTTAGTAGAAACCCTCAAAAGAGGATTAAAACGATTGAGCACAAGCTCTATCTCAAGCTTAAACACTACCCTAAGGTTAATCACCTTCAAAGAAAATGGAAAAGTGAAGAAATGAGGGAGGTTGCAGATATTTCAGTGCTGAAATGGCATGCAAAGTGATACTACAACATGTAAGCAACTCATGCAAATCATGCTTAAAAGCCAAAAACACCAAACTAGTGAAGATCACTACACTATAGGCATGCAATGCAAAGCTCAAAAAGGACCAACAGTCCAAAACAATCTTAAAACAACTTAAAAGAAGTCCTAAAACATGCTTGAAGTAAGCTAAAAAAAGGCTAGAATGAAAGGCCAACACATAGCATGAACTAGACTATTAAGCACAGTTGCACTACAAGCATACAAAGCAAGCCTCAAGTGACCAAACTAGCTCAAAACGGAGCTTAAACATGCCAAAATCATAGCAAAAATATGCTGAGATCAAGTCACAAAAAGCTAGAAAAACATGGTCACATGTTAGTTATTTACACATGCAAACAAGACACAAGGAGGGGAGGCTACTCCCTCCCATTTTGGACCTCAAAACAATGTTTTTACCACTGAAAATTCTCTGGAATTCAGTGGTCAAGAGAGTCGAAAAAGTTGTTTTAGAAAGCTTTGAAAGATGGCACAACAACTTAACAAGCAGGCTACAAGAAGGGTGGACCACCCCTAACTCCAATCAAACCTCAAATCACCATTTTAGTCCATAAAATAGAGATTTTTAAAGGTTAAAACCAGCCTCAAAACAGCATGCAAAGATGGCAAAACAAGTATTTAAATTAAACTTAAAACACAAGTGTTCTACCTCTTGAAGATAAGATGCTATTTAGGTAACAAAGGCAAGTCAAACCAAGCCAATACCCTCTTCTAGAGCTCAAATAGGACCTTAAACAACCTCAACTCAATGGTGATCAAGTTTGATCAAGGACTCACATGCAAGAGTGTAGAGAATTTAGGCTTTAAGGCATAAAATATCAAGAGAGAGAGGATTTTAGAGAGAGAGAGAGAGAGAGAGGGAAATTTTTTTGTCTTCAAAATTTCCAACCCCCCACATGGAAGAGGAAGGCTTCTATATATAGAAGATACAAAATCCCCTCAAAGAGATCTAGCCATACACGTGCAAGAAGATGGCTCAATCTGTGCAAACAACTGGCACAAAATATTAGAAAATATCTACTGATACACTGGTGGCCAGCCGGCCATCAGTGATAGCCGGCAGGGGCTCGTTGATGCCCGGCAGGGCACATCAATGGCCGACAGGCCAAAATCTGTAGCCGACAGTGCCTCAACATGGCCGACAGTCCATCAAAAAAAAAAACATACTAAAAGAACCTAAACATGGTCAAAAAATGAGATAAAATTAATGCATGGTTTGGAAAGCTCAAACCTGCGGCATTCTGTCGTGGATCTCGAGCGCTCGACGAGCAATCAAACTCGTCACTAGATGTACCTGCAAGAACATCCAAGTCTTGAGGACGGTCAAAAATGGGGTGTCTACAGTTGCCTCTCTTTGACAGAACTTAGAGTCAGAAAGATGACGTGAGTGAATGTCAAAGCCCTGAGACGACCCATTTTGACAAGGCCGTAAGACTTAGATAGACATTCAAGATAACAATATATAGTTACACCCGTAGGCTGGGACAAAATGCAAATGATATGCATGATGCAAGAACATAACTTATGATCATGCAATGAGGCTATAATGAAGCATTTAAATGCAAGTGTTACGCAAAGAAAATGCCATATTTTAAACAAACCAACAAGGTACAGTAATCTCATACATGAAAAGAAGTAAACAAATAAACACGCCACGTATGAGAATCACAAGCCGAATCGTACCTCGTGCAGAAAGGATGTAAGAAAATTATGCAGTCTTAACTATGCAACGCGCAGGAAAGGCTAAGAGCGACTGTCGGGAAGGCCCGAAGTCTCAAACAAAATATCGACGCGCTGCACGTGTAAGGAAAGAAGGGATGAGGTGAACACCGGGACTTGCCCACGTGTTTCTAAAGTGTAGCGTCCTAACGCGTCACACGCAAGAGGAGAAAAGGATGGGTGCAAATGCCGGAGGGTGGTATAAACATCGGAGTACGTCCAATGTTTCTAACCAAAACAAGGTGGTATAAGCATCGGAACACGTTCCATACGCTTCTAACCGGGGAATGGTATGAACATTGGGCACACGTCCTAATGTTTCTAGCCAAAGAGGGTGGTATAAGTGTCGGAACACGTTCCAAACGCTTTTAACCGGGGAGTGGTATAAACATCGGGCACACGTCGTTTCTAACCAAAGAGGGTGGTAGAAGCGTTGGAACACGTTCCAAATGCGTCTAACTGAGGAGTGGTATAAACATCGGGCACACGTCCTAATGTTTCTAACCAAAGAGGGTGGTATAAGCATTGGAACACGTTCAAAACGCTTCTAATCGAGGAGTGGTATAAACATCGGGCACACGTCCCAATGTTTCTAACCAAAGAGTGGTATAAGCATCAGAACACGTTCCAAACGCTTCTAACCGGGGGGGTGGTATAAACATCGGGCACAGGTCCCAATGTTTGTAACCAAAGAGGGTGTTAGTGTAAACACCGGGCATACCCAAATGTTTCTAATCAACAAGGAGTCCGAGGGACAAGAATAATCTTGCATGGAATTCCTGAATAAACCGTACATACAATATCGTGCATGTAGAGAAAGACACTTAACAAGTGCAACGTGATGAGAATGCATGGTCTATACAAGACGAATAACTGTGACACAACGTTAGAGGTATGTTTTATGCACAACATACAAGAAATGAAATATAAGCATATTCTATGCGGCACGAGCGAAAGCATGTTCCATGCAAAAATAATCAACAATGCATATTCAATGCAACATGCATATTCTATGCAAACATAGTGATGCATGTTCTATGCAACAATTCAAAACACTTATTCAATGCAACAACAAAGAAATGCACATTCTATGCAACGACAAAAGCATGTTTGGTAAAGACAACTCAAAGGCAACTTCCGATTTATCTCTCGGAAGAGTTGCAATATGTTAAAAAGGATACACCTTGCTTAGGTTGATAAACGACGACCGTCGCGCACTGGAAACGCAATTATGAGCTTCCGCGAAGACATTCTGAATCAAACTTTGCACACCCTTTGCATTTCTTGGAATCCAAGAGAGGCTTGTGGAACCCTGCTGGCCACCAGGAGAGGCCGCCGGCCACTGGTGTGCCCTGCCAGCCACCAGTGCACCACTGTCGGCCATCGATGTGCCACTGCCAGCCATCGATGACAGATTTGGGCAATTTGACTTTTCACACTTGGGTCTTTAAGTACACAACTCTAAACTTCATTTCCCACAAACCTTTGCATGAAAATTATTCCTTTTGCTCTCTAGGTAGTCTTCTCTAGATCCACACGTTTCACGCGTTTTCCAACACCCTAAAAACATTTTCTTCGCTAAAACCCTCTAGTTCTCTTCACTTTGAACCAATCAGAATTTGATTTCGACGTTTCTTTCTCCATTTCCATCATTCTCGGCTCATTCCCCTCGAGTTTCTCTCTAGGACAGTACACTTTTCCTGGCTTTGACTTTCTTTGACTTTTTCTCTCTCCTAGGGTTGACTTTTTCAAAGTTTCACCATTTTTCTTCATTTTTCCTCATTTTTGCTCATTTTGCACCTATTTCAGATGGCGAACGATGTTCCACATGACGGGGCTCTCCCTGAGCTTTCTCCAGTAGATTTCGAGGAGGACTTTGAGGCCGGGCCAGAGGCCGAGCTAGAGCTATTACCATTGAGTATACGCCCATTCGATCCAGCGAGATACCATCCTCAGACTCACATAGTGCCTACCGTAGGAGGCACCAAATCATTTACTGACTTTGCTGAGGACGCGCCAGACGACCTCCTATTGAGAGAGCCAGTGTCTCATTTGTCGGCCATCGCCGTAGAGGTACGAAAACTGTCTTTTCTGCAGTATTACCTTTAATTGTTTACATTTCTTGCACTGTTTTGATCTGATTGCATCTCATGCCTTGCCTTGATCTGATTGTATCATCATCACTGCTTTATATCTGACTGTACTTTTCATCGCCTGAACTGTTTGCATCTCACGCATTATTACAGGACAGGTTCCACTCCTTCAGAGGCTATGGCACGACGAACGCTCGAGACTGGTACGGTGAGCTCCCAGCTGGGGTTCGTGACTTTGTTGATGAGACAGGCTTCGATATCTTCTGCTCCAGCCTGACTCGGGTTGTATTAAGTCATCTTCTCTTAGGGGCTCTAGTGGAGAGGTGGTGGGACATCACCAACTCGTTCCATTTCTCCACCATGGGGGAGATGACGATGACCCCTTATGACTTTTCCATGATCACTGGCTTGGGTGTAGGGGGTGATCCGATCCCTCTTGACCCTGACATGGGAGAGTGAGAGGCAACATGGGTTGCGTTGTTTGGGGCACATCCATCGACACTCCGGTTAGGCATGGTCCGGTATAGCTAGTTTGAGGAGCAGTTTAGGGGGACTGAGCCCGAGACGGTCGAGGCGACAGAGTAGTACGCCAGAGGCTTTCTCATATTCCTTTTCGGTACCACCTTGTTTTCGAACAAGTGGAATACCATGGGCCTGTATTTGCTGAGCGCCTTCGTAGTGCTCAATCGAGTTCAGTTCTATGATTGGGGCGGAGCCGGCCTCACCACTTTGTACGGATACATGAGCTTGACTTTCTGCATGAATGGGAGCTTGATTGGAGGCTACTAGCGGGATTGGGAGGTACACAACTTAGTTCTCCCTTTTTGCTTTACATTTTCTGCTTAGCAATTCTTGCTTTACATTTGTTCCATACATGTACTTTATGTTCTGCATTCTCTGTATCTGCTTATGCACTGTATGTTTTCTACTTTGTATTTTCTGCATCTGTTCATGCTGTATGCTTTCTGCTTTGCATTTTCTACCTCTGTTCATGCTATATTGATTTCATTCCATTGCACTTTCACTGCAGCTATGGGTGTACGCATACTTCCCGGTTCTTGCTCCAGAGCCCATAGAGGAGGTTCCAGCGACAGTCCCGTTTTCTTGGGTATACGAGGGCCTGCTCTGCTGTAGGACCCAGGAAAACTTCATGTTTTTCCGCCAGTATTTCGATGTGGTTCGGCGCACGAGGAAACCCAATAACAAAGTCGTCTCACCTTTCAACCATTTGAATCCACACATTAACGATTAACAGCGACTAATCATCTGTTCGTTTTCATTTCAGATCACATGGCAGCCCTGGGCCGTGATATCGTCAGGGCTTCGAGCCTAGTATGATATAGCTTGGGTCGTCACCCACCATCGCATTTTTCTCGAGGGCCCGATTTGTCGCGCCTGGTTCTTGGACGAGCGCTTTGCGAGCCAGACTTTGGGCCTATCTGCCCCATTCATACTGATGGTACCTCCGGTATCCATGAGAGTGACACACAGACTGTTTACCGAAGAGGTGATCCAATTCATGGTAGGGCTGGAGGTGGATTATTTCTGTGTAGAAGGCGATCATCCGACCTTCATCTAAACACACCTGATGTCACATCTGACCGGCGTTCGCGGGGGCGAGGGAATGAGAGCTCCTGTTGTGAGGGTGACACACAGAGCGAGTCGGGCGAGCACAGCCCGTGGCAAAGGGATTCTGCAGATAGGGCGGAGGGCTGGTTGGCCGGAGCTTCCGACCGAGCTGACAGGTTGGCGATACTCTGGAGCGGCCTATTAGATTCCGATCGAGCCTCCATTGCCTGGTCACAGATATGTCAAGGTGCTTGACGCGCCTCTAGTATGCACTTCAGTTTTCATTTCATTTTACATTCTTGCTTAGATACTCAGACATTCATTCATTCTAGATACTGATCATTTCAACTTGCATTTGCAGCCCTCCATAGAGTACGTTGATGGATTACTCGAGATGTTGGCCTCATTCGAGGCGTGATCTTGAGGAGAGAGTCGATACTCGGCTTCTATGGAATTGAGGTAAAACTTTTCAATTTTCTTGCATTTCGGTCATCGTAGTTCTGCTGACATACTGAAATTGGCATTTCAACTGAGCACCTCTTCACCCTGCACTAATACACTGCATATATAGATCACATCTGACACACTGCATTCTCACATTGTATTCATACCCTGCACGTACCTATTCTGCACATCACTCTTGCATCTGATACACATACTATGGCTGACATATACCAACTGCCTTTTCAGGTCCCACATTTACCGACAGCAGCAACAGCAGCCGGACCTTCAACACCTCCTCCAGTAGTAGGGAGAAGAGGGAGACAGGCTCCGATATGCAGCCGAGGCAGAGCTAGGGGCGGCGGCGACAGGATCGACCCTTCAGAGCCCATCTTAGGCGACGATGATGATAAGACGAGCGAGGATGAGGAGGCTGCGAGTCTATAGTCAGAGTCATCTGAGGACGGAGACGACGATGCCGGCTCAAATTCTGCTAGTAGTAAGGCTGCGGAGGCTGCGGAGGCAGAGTAGGGCTCCGATTCAGACTTTGATTCAGATTCAGACAGTCGCGCCGACGGAGACAGTGCTTTAGAGTTCGCTCCACCGAGGAAGAGAATGAAGAGGGCTTCTTGAGCCTGAGATAGTTGGCGTTGATTTATCTATGTTTTGACTTAGTTTCTTTTTGCTAGCAGTATTAGTACTTTGTACAGTTCAGACGAGTTTTATTTCTTAAAAACTTGTACTCTTTTGTAAAAAGTGACCATGATCGGAATGAAAACAACTTTTGATTAAAAAGTGTTATATTTTGCATTCTGAGCATCGCATAACATCGCAGAGCATAAAAAGAAATGACATTGGCCTTGATTGAAAACCGCACGTTCCATTAGCATTGTCTTAATCAGGTAATGAACTGACCAACAACTTAAAAAAGACAAACTAAGTAAAACAACTCAATAAACAAAACAACAACTCGACAATCAATACAAATACAACTTAATAAGCGAAACAAGGACTTGATAAATAACAAACCACAACTCGATGAACAAAACCAAACAGATACAACTCAAATAAGCATGCTCAAGCTAAAAGAGACTCAAAACAAGACCTCAAGAGATGCGAATAGGAAAATAAAACTGCTACATTCACTTGGATTTTCACAAAGGAGGACAGTGGGTAGAAAAGGGAGGCTGTCGGCTATGAAGGATGGCCTGCCGGCCACCTATATCCTTTGCCGGCCATCAATGTGCCTCTGCCGGCCATTGATGAGCCTCTGCTGGCTATCAATGTGCAGAACCTCCGAAACGTTGACACCTGGCCTCCACTCACTGCCTTATCTTCTACAAAGGCTCCAACGTCGTGGTTTCTTCATTCCAACTTTGTTTTTGCTACAAATGGAGCCATTCTCTACCGAAAAACTCTCAGAGTGGATTGCAACTTTAGATGGCTTAGAAAAGCTGAATTTCTGGGGTTTCGGGATAAACGCACTATTCCTTCTGAGTCGTACCCCTGCTGTGTTTTCCGTTCCTTCATGCCGCGGCTAGATGTTGGAACCCGGCCATACATGTTTTTAGCTTTGGGGGACAAGAGATATGTCCGACAATTGAAGAGTTCCAAGTCTTAATGGAATCCAGACGTGACGAGAAAATCATGCCCCAGTCCCGTTTCGGCCACATCCCAGCTTTAGGAAGGATGTGTGGGCTCACTTTACACGATGCTTGATCATTAGTTCACAATGGAACACTTGACATTCCCAATCTCATTCATCGATTTTCTGATGCCGGCGACTGCGGTGATCGTCTTTGGCAGAGTTTTCGATAGCAAGCCCTCTGCTTGTGTATGTTGGCTCATTTCCTACATGCCCCTGGCTTCGGAGGGCCTAGCATTCTCTTGGTCAAAGTTGCCCAAGGCTTGAAAGAGGGCAAGAGCAGCATCGGCTTGACACTAGCCGAAACTTTGATGGGTTTGGATGCTTTCCATCGCCAGGAGACAACCAAGTTCGCAGGAAGTCCACTATTCTTACAGGTAATGTTTCCCACCCTTTTAACATATTTTTCTCACATTACTCGGCCCCCCGGCTCCATTTTTCTCTTGAAACCTTTTCTTTCTTTTTCTCTCCACGTACACCTCTCTATTCTTTAATCTCTTTTATTTTTCATCCCTCCCCAGATATGGCTCATGGACAGGTTGAAAGTAGTGGAATCTTGCCCTGCATATTCAGCACGAGGCTATTTCTTTCGCCAACAGCTAGTTGATTTCCCGAACGAGGGGTGGTGGTGCCACTGGATGTGCAACAGATCTGCTGCTGACATTACTTGGTGTTGCCCCTGGTTTGATTTGCCCGAGATGAGCTACAATATTCTTGACAACTTGGCATTCAGTTGATTGGCTTGACAAACTGTGTCTTCTATTTTCCCTTCCAGTTCAGGCGTCAGTTCGGACACGACCAGACTTGCCCAGAAGAGGGGGTAGAGTACCCGGCTTTATTTCCAATCCGGGGCTCACAGCTAGCTCGCTACCCCATTGCATGGAGGACAAGAGAACTTCTGGCCCCCACTCCCACTTTCAGTTGCACCCTTTCTAGCGAATGCATAGCTTGTCTTAAAGATGAGGCACAAACCGGGCCTACTTTAGCATCTGAAGCTTCCACAAGCTTTGGGAGGGGACGCAGGAACACCTAACTCATCAATGCCCCAAGTTTATTGCTTTAATCTGACTTTCAAGTCTTCCTTTTGAATGTAATAAAAAGGCAACTTCGATTTGTATCAAGAGTTGGAGAACTTTGTATTGAAATCAATGAAATTGAAGGTTATTGGCACTAAAAATTTTCCTTTTGGTCCAAAAATGGTCTAAGTTGTAAAAAGATTAATTTGAACAAAATCAACTTTTATTAAAACTTTTCAAAACAATTTTCGATAAGGATCACAACTGGGCACACCCAAAATCTATCCTTGAGATGCACAACCCCGAATCCAGCAAACAGAAAGTTGCCCCTTGTCTGAATAGCACTGCACTGCACTGCACTGTAACCAGCTCTCACAGTGAAGACCACAGCCGAACTCTTGGATGCAGAAAAGACAAAGATGACCAAACAATCTCATGGACACAGTTAATTTGGAAGTATTTATGGCTGGACTTCAGAATGAAGTTGCCTACGTATCCTGAAGATGGGAATCAAGCCTTACATAGTTCGGTTCGGGTTCACTCAGGTATTAACACTCTCCTTTTGCGCTCTAACTTTTGCCAAGGCCGCTCTTTTTGGGTTTTCAACCTTGCGAGCTCAGTTTTTCTTATTTCAAATTTTGTGCTCTAACTTTTGCCTAAGTCGCTCTTCCTGGTTTTCGGCCTAGCGAGCCACTCAAGGGTAATATTTCTTCAACTTGTCCGTGTTGATTGGTTGGGAGAATTCGAGGCCATCTAGGTCCATAAGAATGACAACTCCACCCGACTAGATAGATTTGATGATATAAGGACCAGTACAATTAGGTCTGAACTTGCCACTAGGGTCATGGATGGGAGCTCAGTTGTCTTTGAGAACCAAATCCTCTTCTTTCAAATTCCTAGACTTAACTTTCTTGTTGGAAGCCTTGGCAATTCTGCATTGATAACCCTGGACGTGGTACGGTGCTTTCAGCATTCTCTTGCCAAACAACATTAGTTCCTCGAACTTGCTCTTTTGCCAATTCGCTTCTGCTATCTGGCACTCAGCCATAACTCGTAGTGACGGAACCTCAACTTCCATCGGAAGAACAGCCTCCATCCCATAAACCAGAGAATATGGAGTTGCTCCAGTAGATGTCTGAATTGACGTCTTGTAGCCCTAGAGAGCAAATGGCAACTTATCTGGCCAGTCCCTATAAGTTTCCACCATCTTCTGTAGAATGTGCTTGATGTTCTTGTTGGCGGCCTCAATAGCTTCGTTGGTTTGCGGCCGATATATGGATAACTTATGAAAAGCTACGGTGCATTTCTCTAACAAGTCGATTACTTCTTTCTTAAAGTGGGAACCATTGTCTGAGATGATCTCATTCGGGACCCCATAACGACAGATGATATTATTCCTGATGAACTTGGCTATGTGTGATGCTTTTAGCACTGCGTAAGATTGGGCCTCGACCTACTTTGTAAAGTAGTCTATTGCCACCAGGATGTACTCATGCCCATTTGACCCTTTCGGAGTAACTGCCCCAATAACATCAATTTCCCAAACTGAAAACGGCCATGGTGAAGTCATGTTGTACAGCTTCGACGGTGGGATATTCATGCGATTTGCATGAATTTGGCATTTGTGGCATTGCCGAACAAAACCAATACAATCCTCCTCCACGGTTGACCAGTAGTAACCTTGTCTGAAAATTTTCTGAGCTAGCATCACTCCGCTCATGTGCGATCCGCACTCTCCTCCGTGGATGGCCTCCATTAGGTGCTTCGACTCTTCTTCATCAACACACAACTTATGCATTCCCAGATGGCCCCGTTTGTACAATTTACCCCCGCAGATGATAAACTGAGTAACCATTCACCGTATTGCCCTTTTATCTTTGGCATCTGCCCGTAGTGGATAAGCCTCATTTTCCAAGAAGTTCCAAATGTCATGATACCAGGGGTTTTGATCTTGTACTTCATTTATTACGACAATCAACTCGTAGGCCGGCACATATCTCAGTTCAATAATGATCGGACGCATCCGGACTCCCAAAGGGATGTCTATCATGGAAGATAGAGTTGATAACGCGTCAACGAACCTGTTGTTCTCTCTTAACAGATGCGTGAAGGTTAACTTCTCAAACTTGGAAAAAGGGAGGGTTTTCCAAGGGCATGTTTGTACTGTGCCCCTCCTTGTCATCTCAAAATATCAAAGGAGTGGCACTCTTGGATCCAAAACCACCAACCAGGCGTCTTCGATGCATGATGGTCAAAGAACCAAGGAGTACAATTTCATTGTATGCAAAAAAACAAGACTCAAGACCATCACCTTATCATGGATGATCAAAGGCAATGGAGACTAAGGAGATTGGCTCATTTCATCACTTTGAGCATGAAATGCTCCAATCTACCTTGTGTTCAATATAACGTCCGATTGAACACATGCAATGCAACACAACATGCTTAACTTGCTCAAGTTTTACTTGTCAAATTTTATTTACTCATTTTTATTACCGATCCATTCTTTAACCGGTTTAGTCCAAGGTGAGAGTCCTCTAATGAGAGAAATGTCAACCAAGGGTTGACTTAAGGCAAGAGAGAGATCATTCCTTTCGTTAGTAGAAACCCTCAAAAGATGATTAAAACCATTGAGCACAAGCTCTATCTCAGGCTTAAACATAACCCTAAGGTTAATCACCCTCAAAGAAAATGAAAAAGTGAAGAAATGAGGGAGGTTGCAAATATTTCAGTGCTAAAATGGCATGCAAAGTGATACTATAACATGTAAGAAACTCATGCAAATCATGCTTAAAAGCCAAAAACACCAAACTAGTGAAGATCACTACACTATAGGCATGCAATGCAAAGCTCAAAAAGGACCAACAGTCCAAAACAGTCTTAAAACAACTTAAAAGAAGTCCTAAAACATGCTTGAAGTAAGCTAAAAAAAGGCTAGAATGAAAGGCCAACACATAGCACAAACTAGACTATTAAGCACAGTTGCACTACAAGCATATAAAGCAAGCCTCAAGTGACCAAACCAGCTCAAAACAGAGCTTAAACATGCCAAAATAATAGCAAAAACATGCTGAGATCAAGTCACAAAAAGCTA